AAATTACCTGAAAATTATCGTCCAATATCACTTTAAGTTGCTTTGGAAAACTCTTCAAATGTATAATAAATCATAGTTTGAATAAATTTGCTGATAGCACGAATCTTATACATGAAACACAAGCAGGGTTTAGAAAAAAAACTTTTCTATTGTTGATAATATTTTTATTCTTAAATGTCTAATCGATATTGCGGGTTTATTTGAAACTTTTTATTTTACTTTACGCTGACGACATCGTCATATTCAGTGATAATGAAGAAGATCTTAAAATTGCCTTAAATAAATTCAAAGAATACTGCGATCAATGGAAATTAAACATTAATGTAAACAAAACAAAAGTTATGATTTTCAGTAAAGGCCTTCCTAAAAATTGTAAAGTGTTTCCAATAGGAGAAAACGTTCTTGAAGTTGTAAATGTTGTTGAGTACAAATATTTAGGTATATACTTTAATAAAAGTGGCTCTTTTTATAAATCTAAAATTGGAATTGCAGAGCAAGCAAATAAAGCTATGTTTGCATTGTTAAGGAAAATTAAATTGTTAGCTTTACCATTTGATTTACAATCAAACCAATTTTATTATATGGAAGTGAAATTTGGGGATTTGGCGATGTTTCTGTTTTGGAAAAAGTTCAACTGAAGTTTTACAAATATATTTTTAATTTAAAAAAGTCTACACCGTCTTATATGGTGTACGGAGAGACAGGCATTTTTCCTTTAAAAATTCATATTAAAAATAGGGTTGTATCATACTGGACAAGACTTATTGATAATATAAATAGTAATGAAACAGCGAAACTATCATCAAAGTTGTATATTGTTTTAAGGGAACTTCAAAATAATAATTTAGTTAAGTCACTCTGGATAGAAAATGTTAAACAATATTTATGTGAGACAGGTTTTTCTGCAATATGGTATGCTCAATGTTTTTGCAGTAGTAAATGGCTTATTAAAGCAAACTTTCAAAGTTAAAATATATCTATATTCAAAGCTGGAGAGCTGAAATTATCAATACGTCAGTCTCAAATTTGTATAAATATATAAAAGATAACTTTTGTAGAAGCGCGTACATAGACACATTAATATTACCTCTGCATTTTGCTAGGAAATTTTTTATGTTTTTAACAAGGAACCATCGACTTCCAATTGAAACGGGACGTTTGCAAAACATACCCATAAACGATCGTAAATGCACTCTTTTTAGAGATATAGGAGATGAATTTCATTACATTTTTAAATGTCCAATATTTGAAAACGAAAGAAGAAAATATATAGATAATTTTTACCGACAAAGACCAAGTATGTTTAAATTCATTGAATTATTAAACTGTAGAAATATGAAGAAAATAGAAAATTTAAGTATCTGTTGTAATAAAATTATGCAATATTTTGTTTTTTTCTTGATTATTCTTATATTGTCTATGTTATATGTATACTGTAGATTAAGGTATTGGTAGATGAAACATGTCAACGTACTAATATACCATGTTTATGTATTACATCTTAATGATTTATGTTTAAAAACAGTATATCTATAATTTATATTCACATAATTCACATAGGATGTTTATGAAAGGTTCAGTGAAACTTATATGTCACATTGTGAAACATTAAAGCTGCATGCCTCCAGAAAGGCCCAAAATATTTCAATATATAATTAAACTTTATTAACATTTACTAAGATTTTTAGAGAAGTAAAAATATTCAAAATGCAAGTAATAATTAACATTTTATGTGTGATTATTGACTGATTTTGGAGTATTCGTCACCATATTTAAACTGCGTTACTAACGCAGTAAGGGCTATTTTTGCAAATTTATACCTCTTTTGGGTAATTTACGTGGATAAAGCGCCATTTACAATGTGTGGATTAATATCTTTGTTCAACTCACAATATTTTTCTTTTAAATGTTTTCAAAATTGTCATGAAAATTTTGCATGAATCTGGAGGCATGCTGCTTTAAAGTATTACATATTTCTAGAAATTTTAGAATATTTACTATTCTTCTGAAATGACATTACTGACAAAAATGCTCTTTTTGCAGCAAATATCTTGCATTATTTTCCTTTTCTTGTGTTTCATGAAAGAGTTAAACTTATATTGTTAAATATACAAATCATTATATATTGAGTAACGCATATAAATATATTTCTTTTTTTGACATTTGAATTATTTAAAAGATTTTTTTTCTTTTTTATACGTACTTTCTTTGTTATACGTACTTAATATAAGTCTCTCTCTCTTTCATAAAAATGTTGAAATTATGCAACATGTAATCAATCACCTTTGTTAAAATTTGAAAAGTAGAATATCTTCAGATATTTGAAATACTATGTCTTCTCGGCTATATTTACTTATATATAATTTCATACTATTACAATAAGTAGCTAGTAAATTACGATCTTTATGCTATAAGTAAGCTGTGCACATTTTATTTTTTTCTCATACATGCAAATCTAAGATTCAAATATGAAACTTTCTCTTTTATATTATAAACAATTGATACTGAAATGAATGTTAAATTGTTAGAACCTGTTTATAACCCGGATATCTTTCGTGTTTTTTTTCCTCGATACGCTTTCGTTTCGCTTTGTTCATGTTATTATGAAAGGTGTAAACATTCTATTTGATCCATTAATCATACTAAATATGTTAACTTAATATATATTTCTTCTCACCAAATTGTAACTATATATTACTATTATCCTAAGAATGTAATATAGCCGTTTTCCATTATGTATTTGTATATGTTTATGTATGTATACTGCTGATGTTTCCCGCTATTGTGGGACTTGTGCATTTTGTAAATAAATTGAATTGAAATATAATTATATAAATTTTGAGTGCATTGTTCCAGTGGAATAGGCCCGAGTGATTAATTACAAATTTAGCATTTGAACATAAACCTTGCATTATTATACTGTAATGTAAGAAATTTCAAATCTATATTCATTCTAGTATGCCAATAAAAAGGAAAAAATGATAACAAACAAATTCATTGAATTCATATTCCCCACCGAGTACTGTTTATTACCAACACAACAACTGGAGGCACAAGGCTTTATATATTTATCATAACATAAACAGTAATAATATTCTTTGCACATAATAAAAATCCAGGGTAATAAAAGTGGCCGTAACTCCCTATTAAAAAGTATCAATGAGATGCAAATTGCCTTTTTGTATTGAGAATAGAGCGTTAACAATATGCATACTTTTTAACTAATCAAGGTCCATAACTATGATATGCACATCTCTTCGTATTGATAAGTCCTATAAAGTTTCCTTAAATTCCAGCCAGTAGATGCAGAGAAATAGTGCGGAAACGATTATTGCTCTATAGATATGTGTACTTTATAACTAATCAAGGACCGAAGGATATGACCGGAGCAAGGCGACGATATGCGCATTTAATCTTGGTATTTAAGGTTCCAATAAAGTTTTGTTGAATTCCTGAAGCAGTTGCAGACAAGTGGCGCGGAAACGATATTTGCTCTAAATGCATAACTAATAAAGAGCTATTACTAAGTGTTTAAGGGTCTGATCTGAACAAGGCAAGGATACGCCCATCTCCTCTTGAAATTGATGGTTCCCATAAAGTTTCATTGAATTCCTACCGGTGGTTTCAGAGAGATAGGACTGAAACGATTACTGCTCTAAATGCATACTGCATAATTTATCAAGGGCCATAACTCTGTGATGAAGGGTCTGACCGGAGCAAAGCAACAATATGCGCATCTCATCTTAGTATTGATGGTTATCATAAAGTTTCAATGAATTCCTGCCAGTAGTTGCACAGAAATAGCAGGGAAACGATTATTGCTCTATATGCATACTGCATAACTAATCAAGGGTCATAACTCTGTGATGAAGGGTGGACCGGAACAACAGAACTGAAAAAGAGGCGTTTCAGATGGCTGGGCGATGTGCTTAGGATGCCACAAGAATGCATACCTAAATAAGCTTATGCTGGACACCACCTGGGAAAAGAAAACCTGGCAGACCTCGGACCACATTGAGGAGAACCATCCAATCAGAGCTGCAAGACCAGGGATATAGGTTAGGACATGCACATCAAATAGCAAAGGACAGAGGGAAATGGAGGGAGCTGGTTATGGCCTTATGTCCCACTGGGGATGAAAAGGATAGGTAGGTAGGCAGGTAGGTAGATAGGTAGCAGGAAAACGATAATTGCTCTATATGCATAATGCATAACTAATCAAGGGCCAGGCCAGAACTCTGTGTTGAAGGGTGGACCAGAACAAGGCAATAATATGCACATCTCACCTTGGTATTGATGGTTTTTATAATTTTCGTTATATTTCAGCCAGTAGTTGCAGAGAAGTAGCGCTAAAACTATTATTGCTCTTTATGCATACTGCATAAATAATCAAGGGCCATAACTCTGTGATGAAGGGTCTGACTGGAACAACGTAACAATATGCACATCTCCTCTTTGTATTGATGGTTCCCATAGTTGCCTCGAATTCCTGCCAGTAGTTGCAGAGAAATAGTATGGAAACGATTATTGATCTATATGCATACTGCATAACTAAGAAATGGCCATAACTCTGTTTAAGGGTCACCCCTGAACAAAGCGATAATATGCACATCTCATCTTGGTACTGATGGTTCCCGAATTAACGCCAGGCGTTGCAAGGAAGGAGCGTGGAAAATATTATTGCTCTATATGCATACTGCATAACTAATCAAGGGCCATAACTCTGTGTTGAAGGTCAGATCGGAACAAGGCGATAATATGCCCATCTCATCTTGGTATTGATGGTTTCCATAAAGTTTCATTGAATTCAAGCCAGAAGTTAAAGAGAAGTAGTGCGGACATGATTATTACTTCTTTGTGCATACTACATACCTAATCAAGGGCCATAACTCTGTGTTGAAGGGTTGAGAGAACTAGCGTGGAAACGAAATTCGGCCGACGGATTGACGCACATCGCCAAAACAATATACCCCTTCTGATAAAAATAACTACAATGAGCATTAAAGTCATTTGGTTTATTGACATCATAATAGTTTGAAGCTATTGGAATATGTAGTCAACATTAATACACTGATTAACATTTATTTTGTAGATAAATCATTTTGTATTATAATTCACTGTTCAGCTCGAGAAGCACTTCATTTTGCTAAATGACTATTATGATAGAATAATATAGACATATGAGGGCTTTCAGTATCTTTTTTTTCTTCTTCACTTTTTTAAGGGGCGTGGGTAGTGCTGAGTAGGTAGAACAAACACAGTAAAGGTCATATGGCAAGCTTTACTGGTGAAAGATGACCTCAGATGTCCTTCTGTGTGTTATCTTTAGTGGTTAATGAGATATCCATGATGTTATACTAGAAGTTGCACACTAAATTTTAAGTAACTATTTGAAGTGTTAATTAAGCATATGCTTAGGTAAGAGAGACTCACTATTGAATAGTAGAGCTAAAAATTCTAACTACATATTGAATGTTGGTAAAGAACTAAGAACTCTGCAGGTATTTGAAACAAATCATTGATTTTAATACCCATAAAATTGTGAATTTACATCAATATTTGCAATAAAGTTAGCACTTGATGATGTTACAATACTTTGACATAAAACACGGACAAAGTACACTCTATGTCAAATATTAAGATTTTTTCAATGAAACAAGTGAATTTCAGAGGTTAAAATAACCTTTTCAAGTTGAAAATGGTTTAATGGTAATAGCCTAAGTCAATTTTCAAAGCTATTCACTTTTCAAGGCAATGACACCAATTAACTGTCCTAAAATTTTCCTAATTTCAGTATAATTATGCCAATTAAAATGCCCACACATTTTACTTGTACATGCACAGTGGGTGATTCAGTCACAGAAGGACTACAAGTCATAATATAATACATGTATATTGGAATTTACTCTGTCCAAAATATAACCCAATAGTCAATCAACCTGTTTAATATGAGCAGTGTTATAACAAAACCAACATAGTGGGTTTGCGACCAGCATGGATCCAGACCAGCCTGAGCATCCGCGCAGTCTGATCAGGATCCATGCTGTTCGCTATCAGTTTCTCTACTTGTAATAGAGTTGGTAAGCTAACAGCATGGATCCTGATCAGACTGCACGGATGCGCAGGCTGGTCTGGATCCATGCTGGTCGCAAATGCATTACGTTGGTTTTGTCATGACGCAGCTCATATGTATTACAAATAAAGTGTTTATGAAGGAATAATTATTTTTATATATAAGCTTTATATTGTAACAAATTTATTGAACACATTAGATCTGTGTTCATCATTAAATATGTCTGTGAATGGTAATCACACTGATGTTTATGAAGAAATTTAAAAGGTTTTAAATGGTATAAATCTATATCTTATGAAATATTTTTATAAAATGTATCAACAGTAAAAATATATTGGTTCCATTATTATATGGTTGATTCCCGAAAAAGTTGTAACATAGAATGTCTCTGTTATCTAACACACATGAATATTGTTCATAAACTGAATAAAATGTTACAGAACAAAATATTATTTGCTATTTCAAGTAGGATTGTATCAGTTTAGGATGATTTTGTGCATGCATCATTCGCTTTTTAAGGCAACTATCTACCATTTTTATTTCATACAAGCAATTTGGAAGAATTCTTTTTGTAAAATTTAAACAATAATTTTTGCAGCAGATATATAGCTTTATACACTCTAAATATCAGAGAGGAAAAACTTTAGCAAACAATAGTAAAACAAGTACAGCCTTTGTCAGGCTGCATGGATGTACAGTATTGTTTAGCTGTGTTCTGGTGGCACTGGCAAAGTCATTGTTGTGGCAAGCATTCAGAGAGTTAACAGCATTCATTTCCAATACAATCTTATATATATCACAATACAATCAAATTATGTCTCTTATTCTACTTGGACCCGCGACATCACCGAGAAATAGGTTGTCAGCTTCCTCCAGCCTCACTGTCATTCTGAAATATACCAATAATCAAATCACTAGTAGTTACGTAATACATGTATACAAAAAAACTACTTAGTCTAAGAGTTACTTAGCATGACTATGATTGAAAAACAGACTTACTATTGATATATAGATAGGACCTTAGGACATTGATTATTGCTATAAATACAGTAAAAAACAGAAACAAAGGCCACCCAAGGAAGAGCAAATCATGGTCTTCATATAAACAAGTGGCCTTTATTTGGAGGTTACTTCAGTCAATTTTATCAATGATTGCTTATCAAAAACTGACCATTATTTTTAAGTTATCTTGATTCAGATGTGGTCTTATACACAGGTTTAACTGTACAGAAAACTTCTATAATCCAGGTGCAAAAAGGAGTACCTACCTGATGCAATGTCTAGGACTAAGTTTGTCTAGTTTGCAAGCTTTCATATTTATAACTAGATTTTTACAAAAAAAACTTGTAAGGTATTATATACATGTGCATGTAATATGTTCTATTCATACTCAAGTCAACTAAAACAAACTTTCATCCTGTTCATGTTTCTGAACTAGTCCAGGATAAAGTGAGCAAGACAGCTCTATAAAAAAAGATTGATTTTGACATTAATTGGATATTAAGATTTTTAAAAAAATATGGATAGACAAAGTGAAATAATAACATGTTCTTAGTGGCATGTATATACCTTCTGTGAAAAACAATCCTCAAAACTGAGTGCTGTTAGCTCATAGAGCTGTTAAAATCATGAATACCAAGTGAAATGTTATTTCAGTGCTTTGTTTGTGCATCAAGGTACCTTTCAACTGTACCCAAGCTACAACCAAAAATAAACTATGATCAAAAGATGTTTTCCCTACTTATTGAATAATGACCCAAATCCATTTACAAGTATTTCAATTTTAGCAATATAAAACTTATTTACCACAATGGGCAAAAGTTGCTTCTTTACCAGTGCATATTCCCACAAATCTGACCTCATGTACTATTTAATATTTGAGTTTTAGACATAAAGTACTGATTCAAACGTTGTATTAAACTATGGCCAATGGTTTCTTTTTATATACTATGACTAGAGTTGATTCCTTCCCTATGATCAATGAACATTTAACTAAGGCCAAAAGTTTATTTATAACTGACAAAATTTACCTTACAAAAGTTCCCCCATTAAAAACCTAACTTCCTCCCCAAATATAACCATTGATCATCCAAATGATTTGATTTAATTTCCTTTAGACCAGGCGGTCAAAGATAGCCTACGAAAGTGCAAAGTAGGGTCCTTACCTCAGCACACACTAGAGACAGCTATGAGATACAAACCAGTCCCTAGCTCTTATTGAATAGATCCCATGGTTCTTTTACATGCCTAGTGTATAGCAATGATACATGCGAGGATTACCTGGGTTTCGTACCAGTATACCTCTAGATAGTGTTTCAGAAAAATCCTAAGGGTGTTACCCAGGATCGAACCTGGAACCTAGGGAGTGACAGTCAGTGGTCTAACCAACTGAGCCATAGCACCACCTTACAATGACAAATGATTCCCCTACCCTACACAAAGACCCAAATTATGAACAGATATTACTTTCCTCAGTTGTGAACCATAGTTACTTTCCAAGCTATAACTGAAAATGACTTCGGAAAGTATGACCAACAGTTGCTTCTTACATTGACTGAATATAGCCTTCAAAAACTTTTTGATTTGAAACAATGGCAGAGTTGCTTCCACCCCCAATTTATGAATACTTAAGTATAACAGACACTTGGTGTAATATCACTCTAAACAAACATTTTCTATTGATACTACTAGTATCCTAATTTTATACATTATGGTGCATTTTTTAATCAATTTAGAAAGTCAAGATGACCTTGCACTTGAAAACACAAAATGAAAACCTGTGCTAATAAAACCACACTGTATGTTTAATTTACCCCTTGCATTAATCCAGTAAGGCTTCTCTTTTCTTTTTCTATCCTGGCCTTCTCATTAACCTCCTTTTAAAGAAATATCATTGATATATTCTAGTGTCTACTAATAACCCACATTAATTAGCATGTTTACTCAACATTACCACTTTCAAACATTATTATATTAAAAAAATTAACGTTTTAATATCAATCCTGATAAAGGTGTAAGCCAAAACGTTGATAAATAACAATACATCAGAATGTGTGTGTTGTTGTTGATTTTTCTATCCAACAAGCATTATTATATAGACTTTGTCATTATTTAAAGTCGTTTTTCTCTGTTGGTTTAAATCTGAGAAACACAGTAAAGGTCAAATGGCAACTTTCCGATTTTACTGATGGAATTATCTTATCTTGTCATCTTGTCACCTTAGTGCAGTAAAAGGTTAACTCCTATTCAAAATAATTAGTACTTAATCTGTTATTGAACTAAGGTGACAATCTATTCCTTCATACTTTATCTAAAACACAGGTAAGCATCTGAGTAGAACCTGCAACTTTCACTATGGTATATGGATAGTCTCCTCAAAGGAAGGAATTCAAAGGTTTGAAATATTTTGAAATCGTAAAAATCATGTAACAGTAAGTTACTGTATACACGTTTCTGGTTTCCTAACTGATAAAATAAGAGACTAATTCATTTTCAACCGAAGTGTTATTCAGCTTCAAATTGCTACATGTAACTTGTTATAAATAAAAACAACAACAAAAAACTGTGTTTCAGCAATCTTCAGGGCTGAAAATGCCAAGAAAAAATGAACAATAAGCATTAAGAATGGCCTTATTCTTCAAAGAAAAATATTATGTCACGTGTCATACCATTAAGTGATGTATCATGTACCTCTCTACTCAAGCAACTTACAGAGCTTCTCCTATTTAGTATAACTTAAAAAATCCAAGTTTAAAAAAGAGTGGCATCAGCTGATGTACCTTTATTGAAGCTGATTCTTTCCTGAGTTCATTGAAAACTAGTGCCAAAGCCTCTGGATTTACTCCACTCTCACATAATCTCACTACTGTTGCTAGGGTCTCCATGTCAAGACCAGTATTCAGTATCTTAGACATCTCCATCAAAACTGAAATAGGAGGACAAAAATGATATTTTTCTTGATAATAATATTCTACAATATTCAACTATATTTTAAATGATTAAATTTTATAAAATATCAAATTTATTTTTCATGGAAAACAGTACAGTATGAATTTGAACAGCAAAATGACATAATCCTAAAAATACAGTTTAATTCCTAAATATTCCTAAATGTCAAATATAAAGTCATTTTGGAGCACATGAACCATCTAGCACGCCCAGCCCCCCTTTCAATGCCCCGATAAAATTTTAAGCATGGGTAATACTTAAGGAAGCACCTAATTTGACATGCAAGAAAACATTTTTTTGTCTATCTGGGCATGTACTGCTACATCTTGGCATGAACCTCAACATATAGTCTCATTAAATATTTTCATACACTTACAATATAGTCTTGCAGACATGACACAGGTCTCATGATTTAATAATAAGACAATCGATAAAAAAGGATTGTAGATTCTTGCATATCAGACTGGCGTTTCCGAGAGTTTTACCCATGCTGGAAATTTCATCTGGCATGGGGGGTGCCAGATGAGTCGCGTGCTGTACAATGGCGTGCTCAGGATGACGTCATTTTACCGTTATGAATGAAGTTGTAATTCATACACTGTTGTAAGAAAGTAGTTACGGTTGTAATTATATAAATTTCAATTGGAATTAAAGATAAAGAATTTAAAATATAATGGAATATGGTAGAATATGCAAGAAAAAATATCTGACATATGTTTGCGGTTAGGATCGGAATATCCGTCCCTCGGTCACATGCCCATGGGCAGTCACTCGGCAAGCCTCGTTACCGCCCAATGGGCGGGTCACCTCGGGACGGATATTCCGATCCGAACCGCAAAATATGACAGATATTATTATTCTAACAAGAACTGTTGGAGGACAGCGACGCTGGAATATTCGAAAAAATTGTCACAAGGGTGTTTCATTGAGAAAAATAATGCTTACCAATATGAATACATAAAATTGTCCGAAAAGGTACAAAGGCTTGTTATTAAGATGTTTTATCGAGTAAATCACTGCTTAATTATTATGAATGCATAAAATTGTCCCAAAAAAGGCACAAACCTTTCAGTAGTTATGGAGATACCAGCTTACAAACAAAAACTTAACCAAGAATTTCTAAGTCGAAAAAGGGGCATAAGTATGCAAAAAAGCAAATCAGAGTTATGGGGCTTGTGCCAATCATGTAAGATAATCACAGAGAACAAGTGTGTGAAGATTCAATCCATTCCCTTCAGTAGTTATGGAGATACCAGCTTACACGCAAAAACTTAACCAAGAATTTCTAAGTCGAAAAAGGGGCATAATTATGCAAAAAAGCAAATCAGAGTTATGGGGCTTGTGCCAATCATGTAAGATAATCACAGAGAAAAAGTGTGTGAAGTTTCAATCCATTCCCTTCAGTAGTTATGGAGATACCAGCTTACATGCAAAAACTTAACCAAGAATTTCTAAGTCGAAAAAGGGCCATAAGTATGCAAAAAAGCAAATCAGAGTTATTGAACTTGTGCCAATCATGTAAGATAATCACAGAGAACAAGTGTGTGAAGTTTCAATCCATTCCCTTCAGTAGTTATGGAGATACCAGCTTACACGCAAAAACTTAACCAAGAATTTCTAAGTCGAAAAAGGGCCATAAGTATGCAAAAAAGCAAATCAGAGTTATTGAACTTGTGCCAATCATGTAAGATAATCACAGAGAACAAGTGTGTGAAGTTTCAATCCATTCCCTTCAGTAGTTTTGGAGATACTTCTTTACAAGCAAAAACTCAACCAAAAATTTCTACATTTCCCTTTGCTTTTGTATGGAGTATTTTAATTGGTCCGAGGTTTTCACATGACCAATGAAAATACTCCATATGAAAACAATCTGCTGCGCCATTTTACTTTCATTTTGGATTGAGAATTTGACATAAAGGAAAAAAGGTGCGTTATAGTTTCATATGATGCTTTGATTGAACAATTACAATTAATAATTTAATTTTACCCTATTTAAATACGCAATACAACGAAATATTCATTCACTGTGAATTCAGTGTGTTTTACTTCTGAGAGTTATACCGAAACAGTGCAATCAAATCTCTTCTGAGTTTCATTTGTTATTTCAATCTCTTCAGTTTGGGCTTGAATATTACTTGCTACGTATAATCAGCGAAGGTGTCAGTGTTGTTTTCTAAAGAGTATTTATTTATCTAAGATTTGACACCAAGATTGTTAAGATTGGTGAAAATTTGATGAATATATGCACTGAAAATCAAGATGCTAGTGATTTTTCTATACAAAATGAAAGTAGAGTAAAATGGGCAGCACGAAATACCCAAATATACCCAAATACACCCAAATATAGCCAAATATTGCCCAAATATACCCAAATATTGTCTAAATATACCCAAATATTGCCAAATTATACTAAAAATAAATGTTTTGTACTAAAAAAGTGCTGTTTTAATCATGAACACAATATAAACTTTCACTAAGATATAATCGAACATACCCAAATATACATTTTCCTATCATTGTGTATTGAACCAAACTACTGTATATGTACTCCATTAAAGCTAATTTTTTTCAAAAATAACATGGACACTTGTATATGATATAAAATTTCAACAAAATTACACCTTAAAAACGTTAGTTCAGACAACAAATACCATATCCATATCTTGATTTAAAATTGCAAGTACATTCATAAAGAACGTACCTATATAGTAGATAAGCAAATGTCACAACTTTATTTCCTTACAACATCTTAACTGCCCATTTCAACGGAATGAATAAAAGTTATAGCAGGCTAAGTCATATTATTTTATAAATACTTATTTATTTCTCATTATAATCTATATTTTATACAAACAAAAATAAATATTGCTATATTTGGGTATATTTGGGTATATTTGGGTATATTTGGGTATTTCGTGCCGCCGAGTAAAATACCTTTTAATTTTTTAGTCATAAATTTATTTATTTTTTTCATAAAATTTATTTTTGTCAATACTAATGATGTTTGGATGATGTTTAAGGGTTTTGGGTTGTAGAGGGGGAACTGGGGTATAGTGTAAGACATGACCACACGACGTTCACCTGTGGTCATCACGATAACCACTATCAGAGACATACATATCTATGTCTCTGCCACTATTGTCTTCCCTTATCAAATACACCCGACAACCCAACGTAACTAACCAGGCCAAGTATCTTGGAGTAACTATTACACCAGACCTATCTTGGAAATCGCAATTATGCTCTATGAAGAGTGAGGCGATTACTGAAGAGTGAGTTGATTACTGCAGATGATGATGAAATACCATATCAACAACACAACCAAAATAGCCAACTCAACCCTAGCATTCCTGCGCCGAAACATCCGGTCAAGCCCACCGGATGCCAAAGGGGTGAAAGCCAAAACCTACAACAACAACGTACGCCCACGCGTCGAGTATGCCTCCTCTGTATGGTCACCTGCTGCTGACAGTCACATACTAGCTAGTAAAAGTTTCGTTTAGCCGAAATTCAGATTATCCGTTTACTACCCTTGTTGTAGATTTGCAAATTTTTTAATCTCTGTGCAAAATTTAACTCTTTGAGTTTTGAATATTAGACATCACTTCCAAGCTCTCTAACAAAATACGAATGCCTTTATATATTACCATCCATTGTTTCTTTAGCCGATGAAGACCGTTGTTGTTTTCCCGATTCGGACGCCATTTTTTGGTGTTGTGCGATTGAAACGTCGGTGTACTCCGTAGACCCCGGACGATTAGTCACAATCACTTCACAATAGGACCAGTGGAATCGGTGTCAGCAGGCTCTAAAGACTAATACGGCCTATATTTATATCATAATTATACTTATTAGTGAAATATTGATGAAATAAAATGCGTATTTTCATTTTCCATATCTGCAGGGAAACATATTTTCATGTCAAAAATAGAAAAATGTATATAATAACAGAAAATTCAGGTTTTTTTCTATAAATACAGGATTTATTTTCATCTTGTGGTATGAAAATAAATATTTCACGAGTGGCTGTAGCCACTCATAAAATACCGCCACTTATGAAATATTTATTTTCATACCACTCAATGGAAATAAATCCTGTATTTATAGAATAAAACTTAAATATCCTCTATATATTACTGGTACAATTGTAATAATAAGATGCAGTAGTAGTACTTAGTGATTTGTTTATATGGTACATGTACTCAAGACAAGACGTAGTGAAAATGGGATATCATTATATACAAGACTTTCAAAATGGAGAGTTGAATATGATAGGGTTGTAAATTTTATGCAATAAAATATAGCTGAATCAAAATGATATTTTGTAAAAATAACCATGGCTTGTGGTTAGGAAAAATAAAGAAAAGAAAATACGAAAGTAATTAAGTAGAACAGAAAGTAGTTTAAACACAGATTTTATATTTAGACATACAGCCATTAAAATCGTTTAATTATGTTAATTATACTATTTCAAAAGAATTTTTTAACTGTCGCGGGGTTATAATAATAAAAAAAAACAACAATAAATTATTCTATTAATGCAAATTAAAGAGAAAAAAACTAAAAGACTTTAATATTTGTGACGGATATCCGATAAATCTTATTCACTATCTAATTCATAATTCAAAGTTAAAAAAAAACTACCAATGCAATTTTCCACATGTTTTACAGAAAAGTAACTGTTATCATTTACAAACATATGTGTTTCTTATTTTCTAGATAATTTTAAAGATTGTTATGAAGTATCCGTCAGAGACATATATAGATAACAGATATAGGCAACTTCCTAGCCAGTTAAGTTATCACGTGTGCTTGCTAAACTTAAAACTCTTAGCAAGTAAACCTTTTAACCAGGTAAAATATTTACAATTCCCATTTAAATGATACATCAATTTTTAAAGAGAACTACTACCAAAACTATTCACATGACGAAAAAACTAGCTCAGTGGGTATGTTCTGCTATGTTTTCTAAGTGAAAGGCATGTAAAGTAACCAATATTTTAACATGCAGGAATAGATAAAAGATTCAAATTTCAAATGGTGTATAATATAAAATGATCAAATCTACATCCATGAAGTTTTACACTTTTTGATAGGCATGAGTGATATTTCAATGCAAGTATATAGGAGCTGATTATCTCTGTTATCTACATGTACGTCTCTGCTGTAAGCGGGAGAAACTAGATATGTACTTTTTTTATTGAAAATAAACGGGTCTTAATTTAACGTCATTCCAAATGTTGTCCGATTTCAAAATGTTTCAAGAATTTGAATTATTTCCTGTGTGCTCGGATACGGATGTCTAAAATCAGCTCCTAATTCACGCTACGCATTAGGATCTGACGGGCACCAATGGGAGGTCAACTTCTCAATGGCCAACAGCCAATCATCGGCATCGCTTTCACAAGTTTGAAAGCGATGCGGTTTCTCACTTTAATCGGCTGGAAATCCAATACGTACTGAGTAGGTAATTTCAAGAACAAACATTGCGTTGTCGACAGATAAACTGGCAAAACAATCTTGCCCATTTAAATTGAGTCTATTATTTCCGGTTTATTTGTTTTAAAGTACTTCAAACATTTTTTCTAACAAAAATCAGCAATATGTTTATTCAACGGACAGCGATATTTTGATACTTCTATACGTCTAATGCCCATCTCTTTGCATGGCTTAAAAAACTTTCTCATGAAATCCGAAGTGAAACAAATAAGGTGTGGCAATCAGATCTATATGTACAGCTGTGAGGAAATTATCAAGATACCTTAGGAAAGTCGCTGCATGGTTATACTAATATACTCACTTGGGCCTATAAAATCATTATAAAAAATCTCTGTTTTTGATTTAATTATGTATGCATGCATTGTTAAGAACCACGTGATATTTATATAAAGTTACAAGTGAACACAGCTAGAATTTCACCCATTTAACTGGCGCTTGTAGATTGATTTTACATAAACTGGAATAATTGCGTAAAACAAAACACAAAAGAGGCTCTTATTACATGGTAATGCAGTGTCTCGAGGGTATTAATTCTAACTATTAAATGAATTGGGATGGGAAGAACAATATACATGTATGTATTAATTGTTGATTCATTCTAACTATAAGAAGTTAATGTTGGGTTTATGTGATGATCACCAAACTTTTTTCATTCTTTAGAAATGGCAAATATGAATTTTTAACCATTAAATATTAATGTAAGAAATTAGCATTTTTATTTGTTGCAAAAATAGCAACAAAAGCAAATATGTTCAGGTAATTGATCAGTGATTAACATTTTGGAAACAATAACAAGGCATTGTAATAAAAAAAAGCTTTTGAAAAACGAAAATGAAAGCATTTCCCAAGCATAATGGACTTTTATGGCGACAATGAAATAAAATATTCTGCTGAACTACTGGAAAGCGGTTATTTTTCGTGAGCAATGAAACCAAAAACAATTTTTTAAAAGTCATATAGACTCGGTGTTATTGAGCTAACGGAAATGGCTCATCTCTCTCCCTCTAAGTTCGTCACCGGCCTAAGCAGCTAGTATTCAGTTGTGAACACAAATTCCTCACAGCGATTCGACGCAAAGGGGGAGGGGTATTCGTCACACGGGGTCGACGCAGGGGGGGGGGGGGGGGCACTGCTCAACACTGTAAGAATTAGAATAAATGATCTTGAAGGAAACAAAAGAAAGGCAAAGAATCCTAACAGCAGTAAATTATACAAACTAATGTGTTGCGTCTTAAATATAAAGAATCGGAAAACGATATTTATCGATGTTTAAATATAAAACAAATGTTTGTACGATTGAAATTTGGAAGTGTTACAAGTACATGGGCATGCTTTTTTTTTAAATTGAGTAACTTTAAATAAACTCATTGTAAATTATCGCAAGGGTAAAATATATCGAACAATTAAATCGCTTGATTATGGTGGTTCAATACATCAGAGAGAAAGGGCAAGAGGTGAATCACGAATCACAAAAAATTGAGATTTTATCATATTTTCGTGCTTTCGACCATTCGCCCGGATAGCACGGCAGTGCAAAGATCGACATATGCATTAATTTTCATGGCGAAAACATGGTACTTTTATGTATTGTGTTCTCGTCTTCTATTTGTCGAGTATTTGCCTAACCGTGACGTAAGATCAAATACGCTTAAAAATAAGAAGAAGAAGAGAAAAACGTCTGGACAATGACACTGTCACGTTTTTAACACGACAAATTGAACTACGTACACGTCTTCGTCTTCTTAGCGAGAAATCACGAGAGCACGCGGAACTCTGACTTTCGTCTGCTGCGACAAAAATGAGACAGACGTACTCATCAGATATGTTATGAGCCGCGTCACGACAAAACAAACATAGTGCGTTTGCGACCAGCATGGATCCAGACCAGCCTGCGCATCCGCGCAGTCTGATCAGGATCCATGCTGTTCGCTTTCAGCTTCTCTAGTCGTTATAGGGTTTGTAAGCGAACAGCATGGATCCTGATCAGACTGCGCGTATGCGCAGGCTGGTCTGGATCCATGCTGGTCGCAAACCCATTATGTTGGTTTTGTCATGGCGCGGCTCATATATACCAGACATCATAATTGACTGGAGAAAAAAAGAACAACAACAACTATTTTCGATTCAAAGTCTATGGGATTTCAATATAAAATATAAAATTGAACTACCATGCAAGGCGGTATATATCGAAAACAATATTAGTAAAATAGTTGTAAATAAAAAAGTAAGCACCAAATCTAAAATAACTTATTTTAGGAGTAAACACATAAATAATAATAACATAACATTATTTAATGAACGTTATCTTTTCATATTTATTATAAATATACTGAGGGCAGTTCACACACATATGTGCTTTTTTATCTGATTCATGATATCATTTGGTCATGTTAACATTCGCAGATATTGCGTGTTTACTCCGTTTATTGCATTGTATTTTCAAATATGTGCATTTCTAATCAAAATCAACTAAACTTGAAATATATGATTTTCAGCTATTAAATGCGGCATTAATAAATTTATTCATGGGATATTCTTTGGTTATGGATAAAGTAAAGATAACGTGGGTTTTAATATTTGTGATGAAGGTGATTAAATATGCTAAACATTGCAGTCATTAACGTTTCTAAACATTTGCATATACCTTAATTCTAGTATATTCACGTGCTACGTGCATTCACCGTTAATACCATGTGATAAACTTGATCTACCTATATATTATATGTATTTTCTTCCATGTCATACCAAAATATATATGTTCTTTTTCTTTTCATGTTTAACGACGATGAGTTTGTAATGCTTAAGTCAAATAAAATATTTGTTCTGTTCTGTTCTGTATATACAGCGCATATACATTGTACCTGGAACTGATAAAACGAATAAATAATACTCTTTATATATCTAATATGAAATCATAATTTAAATTTATTTATGTGAGGAATTAAGTTAAATCTACGTAAATAACATGGTGTCTTTTTTGGGGAAATTGCGGGAGAAAATAATGATTGTCAGTCTACTGTTATCAACAAATAGTAATTTTGTTGTCCTTTTGAAATTGGGTATGTTGAAAAGTTACCAAATTAATTATTCTACATATCTCAGGGGTTCCATTCTCAATGTTTTAATTAATATATAATGTAACCATTAATTGCCACGACGGTTGTGAAAACAGTATCAGCAGTATTTACACGGTTACTTCATTTCGTTGGTATGCCTGTTATACGGTTGATGAGGAAATGTTATAGTAAGTAAACATTTTAATTACATGTTTTTTACTATTAAGTAAACAATGAACAAGTATATGTG